GCGAGGTTCCACGGCAAAGGGTATGGAAACGCGAGGAGCGACGACGTGGAGCCAGAAGGTGAGACGCTCTAGAACCCTGACTCGATCCCGGTGCTTCCCTCCATCCCCCAAATGAAAAGAAGAGATCTGTTGCCTGAAGCTTAGGGTTTCTCTGGGACTGACTCGGCTTCCATGTGGGTGGCATGAAAAATAATACCAAAACAAGACATCTAAGTGCAATAGACGAGAAAAGGGCATGCCTACAGACATCCACCAGCAGCGACACCACTGAATTCAGAGCTCTGTGCTCGGCGATTCCAGAGACGGTGTTTTGTTCCCCGAAAGCAGTTGCCACAAGAAAATAAAGGGGATCGACTTCATGAAGATGACAGACCTTGCTTATTTGGTGGACAGATGTCAGAAAGGCCATTCCTCCCAGGACCGATGGAAGTCAGGGAAACTGCAGGTGCCCATCCAACTGGGGTCCTCTCATCAGCTTGTTAGTACAGAGAGCTCTTTGTCTCTTTGACGTCCATTAAACCAGTAGAGTGAAGTCCTGAGGCCTACGGGATCAAATCGTAACAATGAAAGAATAAATGTAGATAAAGAGGCAATAGTTCTTCTTAACTATTATATATATTTCTACTGGCCGAGAGAGACCTGGATTTGAATCCCAACTGGGGACCTCACCGGCTCCATAATTTGGGGCAAATTATTTAACGACCTCTGAATCTGTTTCCTCATCTGTAAGAAGAGGTAATGTTTTAACTTCCCCTGGTTGAGATAATAAAATTACAGGTCTGAGCCCTGTGCTTGCCACAGTGTGAGCACAGAGGTATTCAAAGTTATGATTCCTACAAAAATACGGCCACACTCACCCGTCATTGCGTTTTTTTAAAAGCTGATGTTTTGGGTCATGGGATAAAGATCAGTCGTGAAATTAGCCAGGATTATCTACATGATGGCATTTTACACGATCTTCATGTGCAAGGCCTTCCCTGAATGTTGTTTGTCCATCTGTCCTAACATTTGGAGGAGTATCCTTTTTGGTTGTTGTTACATTGAATGACAAGAGCTAATAGTAAAACTGTGCCGAAAATTAGAAGACAAAATGCCCCAAAACTGGCCATAGCTCCTTGCGCCACTAGGAGTCTTGCACTGCCTGTAGGTCATGGTTCCTTCACTCGTCATAATAAATTCTAGTTAATTGCCCACAACTGACTTCAGTGAAGGAGAATTAGATAATATCTGTGAAGCTTTTAATCTTATAAAAAGGCTCTCCCTAATCAAATTCATATATTCAAATGCAAAATTAATGACACTATTAATTTTTTATTATGCATTTTTATTAAGAGACTTAAGCCTACAGATGTTAGCGAATTGCTTATTAATAAGTAGATATGTATTTAATTTTACAACGTTTCTCATGTTTTTTCCGAAACCACTTCCAGTGCACCATTTAAAATCCTAAATGGGGCCTTTTCCCAGCAGCCTATTTTCATTATTAGCAAAAGTCCAAAGATGCATTTCTCCAGGTCTCCATGGCGAGGTAGTTATCTGTATTTAATTAATTTTAGTCGTTTTGAAAACATTCATGAGCGTTATTAAACAGATACTGTTTTTACAGAGAAGAAAGAAAAGAATGTTCACTTCTGTCCGATCTGGTAGAAGAAACAAAGGATGTTTGAAGCCACGTGCCGCCTCTCTGAAGGGTGTCCGTGTTGCGTAATGTTTTATACCTAATGTTTTACTGCAAGATGACAGTTGCTATACAAGGCTCTGAAATCCCAAATGTAATTAGGATCTTGTAATGAGCAGCATTATGTAGGGAGATGCTTCTGACCCATTGTGAATGAGAACAAGATATATAAAATTGAAAAACTCAATTAAGTTTCATTATGAACTAATTATCTCCCAAGTTCCATTGTTGTTTTAATACTCGAAGCTGAATTAGAGAAGGTGGATGTCGGAATACCCTCAAAGATGATTGAAAACGAGTTTGGAGAAAAGTGAAGTTTCAGTGCAGGATGGTTACATGGGTGTTTCATAAAGAGACGCATAAAACATGGTCAACGGCCCCGACGCAGTGGGGTGTCGAGGCAGACAGGTCTGGCACTTGGCACCGTATGCAAGACGTTATGTGGTGCTGGCCCAGGACCAACACTAACAACGCAGTAACGGTGTGCTCGGAGGTACCCCCCTTACTCCAGCCCATAGAAGAAAATGGTCGATGTTGCTTTCTTGGCATTTTTAATCAACTTCTCAATTACTATCCTGGCAATAATAATAACAGAAAGGTAAGCCGCCATAGAAATGGCGTGAGCGTTCACGAGAGCAGGTTGTCCCAGTGTAAAGCCATCCAATCAAATTTTACTACTCCATAAACATTTTTGTTCTTTAAATATTCGAGGGAAAAAAATTAGCAACCTCTTCAAAATAATCAGGATGCTCAGTGTCCCTTTTCTGTTTGGAAAAGGGTTCTAAAACATTAAATCTTTTTTGTTAGGTTAAGGCTTTGGATTATAGGCCAAGTTGCTGTTCGTAGCAATTTCAGACATCTGTTTGATGATGTAGCTGAAAGCATTCCCCCACCACATGAAGCCCAGCTTTTCGGTTGTACAGTGATGTAAAGTTTATTGAAACATTTTTACATTTGCTTTCTTTGACCACAATAGTCATTTTCCTGTAACATACGCAATTAAACAGGAACAGTGTAAATGCAGCGACATTGATAGGATTCTCATTTGATTCTACTGAATGCCATTACTGTTTTCGTTTGTGCTTGACTGCTGTTGACAAAGGTCTAGGATTGCCTAGGATTATCCTAGGCAATAGAAAAGCTCATTGTTTTTGTTTTATTACTGTTGTAAGATCACGATTAAATATCTAAAGTGAGTCACAGGCTTCTTGGGGCCCAGAGCTCAGAGTTCAAAATGATCCTTCTTTGGTCGGATCTAAATCTCCGATTGGCTGTGGCACTATCCAGAAGCATTGAGCATATTCAAGGAAAAGGTAAGGTGAAAAAGTAGCAAAAGGGAAATGTAGTAAGGAGAGTCCCGTGTTACTGAACCACTGGGGTTGTTTTCCTGGGTCTTACACGAGTGAGAATCAGTGGGAGAACAGAGGGCTAAGAGTTGGGGGAAAATTGGGGGTGGGGTGGGAGTGGGGGTGAATGGTGCCTCAGTTGAGCGCACACACACATTCAACCCCTTCTGTGGGCCTCCCATCATTCTCTTGCTTTATGCTGGTTTTATCAAATCTGGCGGTGCTGCTGGTGAAATGTTCGCAGGTGGAGATGAAAAGAGGTGATAGAGAACTCACGGGGTCAGATCTGACCTTGTGAGTTTATATATGTATATGACTCAGTGGTCTGCACCCAAGGTACTGATCGTACGAGGTGAAGTTTCATACTTGACAGAATACTTCTAAGGTTCTTCTCAACTGTGAGACTAGCATGAACAATGTCTAACTCGAAAGTTGGAGAAAGTATTTAGTAGGATTCAAAGACAGATGTCACGGGGCTGTGAATATCTTGGAATGCCATGCAAATATTTGTGGCTTGGTATGGTTCTGCACATGTGACTTTCCTTCTCTAGACATGTTTTATTAGATTCTCAAAGAGGTGAGACCAAAGAAAGATTAAGGGACTGCTTCTTGGGATTGCAGTAAGGTATAAGTTGCCTCAAGATCAAAAGAACTAACTCTTTGACTTGCAAATCCATTGAAAGGGAAAGGGTGGGGGGCTTGGAGCCCCTCAGGAAGTGGAGGGGCTCAGCCCTCTACCAAGAACTGGTGAAGGAAATTCACCAGAGTCAGGAAACTTCATGACAGCTAGTCACCAGGGGGCTGGGAAAAGGTTCTCTTTAGAGTGGGGATTGATGGGTGGAGAGAGGAGAGCTGGGCCCAATACCAAAGAGATGTTTTCAGCATCAGCGAGCTGCAAAACAAAACGGGCTTCCTTTTCCCTGCACGTTCTTCCAAGCATCGTAAATCCTCAGCCTGCCCCCCAGCCCACATCCTGCAGAACGCAGCCCGAGCAGCGGCCCCACTGTACTCTGAAACCAGCCATGCGAGGGAATGCAGCTGGTCCGAATCCCCGTTCATGCTTTTCTAAGAGCTACACTGGGCCCTGGGCTGCCCGTGGGTGCCACTGCTCCGGGCTTCTCCTAGGGACATGCCTCCTGAGTTGGTTAACTGTGGCTACGCTAATGCTGGAACACCAACAACCCTGATGATCGTTTCTTAGCTCCCCGCGCAGAAGTTGGGCCAGTCTCTGCTGGCCTCACTCCTACAGGGGCGGGGCAGTAGAGGTGTTCCCTGTATCGCTCATCCTGCTGAGACAAGAAGACTTGTCTGGGGAATGTTCTCCCCTTGGCAATGGCAGAGGCCCAAGGTGTCGACAGAAATTCTCGAGGCCTTGGAATGCCTACTCTTGCAGCTTGCGCCCCGCCACTTCAGCCTCATCCCATCGGCCCGAGCAAATCACATGGCCAAATCCAAAGCCGTGTCACAAGGGAATACATCCCATCTCTGCAAAGCCACTTAGGCCTGGGTCTGGGGCAGGGTGAAGAATTAGAGGCACAAAAGCAATCTACTACATCTATATTCGTGGAGGCAACTTCTCCTACGTGATTCAGGTCTCTTCTCACCAGCTGTGAGGCTCAGAATTGATGAGATTCCAGTTTAATGATCACGGTCCTGAGCGTGGGGGGGGGGGTGCCGAGAGTGGAACCCGTGGTAACTCGCTGCTTCCTTCTCCTCGCCACGGCGCCTCACGACGCACCACGCACAACACGCCAGGCAGGACCAGCTTGGCTGCTCGTATGGTTACTGAACAGAGGCTGCGATATAATCATTTTGATGGGTTTCTCCATGTAGAGCACACAGTAGGAATATCTGATAATAACTACAGGCCGATCACCTACTGTAGGCAGGAGACTGCACCCTCGCGTTTATTAGTGGGCTCCCTCGGAAATGGCAGAGGTGACAAAGCACTGCACCGTGTCTGCTTGGCTTTGCAGGTCTGTGTAACTCTGCCGATAGCTGGATGATTGTGCCCAACATCAAGCAGAACCACTACACGGTCCATGGTCTGCAGAGTGGCACCAAGTACATCTTCATCGTCAAGGCCATCAACCAGGCGGGCAGCCGCAGCAGTGAGCCTGGGAAGTTGAAGACAAACAGTAAGTGCCGTGAGCTCAGCAGAGCTGCCGCCTCCCTTCTGCTCTCCTTTCGGCCACCTCTGTCCCCCTTTCTCTTCCTTCTCTGCCTCGGGCATCACCAGCAGCCCCGAGAAGCAAGTGAAGAGCCAGGGCGGTGGGGTGGAGTTGGCATCAGACACCTCCGGGGTCCACAACTCACTTGCCCCTTAAGGGCTGTGAGTCCATCGACTTCTCTGCACTTCAGACCGCTCGCTTTTCAAATAAATAATCCTGGAGGGGTTCTTGTGAGAATTAGAACAGATATAGATAGATAGATAGATAGATAGATAGATAGATAGATAGATAGATAGATAGAAGATAGATAGATATGAAGCCTGATAGGTCGCTGGGGCTCTGCAAATGGCAGATTGTTTTCCATAGCAGAAGAGCAAATTAATAACTCTTTCTTCAGGAATTCTTTGCTTTACTTCCAATATCTGTCTATGTCTGTGGTTCTCAGAAGCAGTTCTGCCCTCCCTACTGCCCCCGCCCCCAGGGACACTGAGCAATGTCTGGAGACATTTTTGGTTGTTATAAGTGGGGTGGATGCTACTGGTATCTAATGGTTAGAGGCCAGGGATGATGGGAAACATCCCACACTACACAGGACACAACAGAGAGAGATCTGGCCCATATATGTGTCTTGTAACACTGTCGTCTCCCTTGCTGTCTCTGCCCACGTGTGTTTTTTTTTTAAATATTTTATTTATTTATTTGACAGAGAGAGACACAGCGAGAGAGGGAATACAAACAGGGGGAGTGAGAGAGGGAGAGGCAGGCTTCCCGCGGAGCAGGGAGCCCGATGCGGGGCTCGATCCCAGGACCCTGGGATCATGACCTGAGCCGAAGGCAGACGCTTAACGACTGAGCCAGCCAGGCGCCCCACATGTGTTTTCTCTTATCCTCTCTTTTTCTTTACTATTTTTGATCTAGAAATATGTTCTATAACATGGATTTCTTTGCATAGGACCTCCCAAGAGAAAGCAACCGGGAGTGTGTCAGTATGGCACCATGTTAGGCAGTTGCCTCTAGTCAATGGGAACAGTTAACTGCTTTTGCAGAAGAACCCACACTTAACCCAAATCCTCAATTTCAGTGGCCAAATAACTTTATTTTATTCCAGACATACGTGTTTAAGACACATACGCTTAGACATTAAGCTAATTTCTCCTCTCAATGTTTCTGCTGGTAAAGAAGGAAATGTTTTTAGAGATTAAGTAGGAAAAAAGTAAGTAAATGTATACACTGAGGTTAATTCTGTAGAATATGCCTTTGAGACATCTGATTTGTGCTTCATCACTGCAGTTTTACTGCAGATAATGCATTCATTTCATGTAGCCGGATAATGTCATCTTCTATTTCTAGACATGCAGTTCTTGAACAGTTATAAACAAGGAGTTGGCAAACTTTTCTGCAGTGTGCCGTAGAGTGAATATTTGAGGCTATGTGTGTCAGATGGTCTTGGTCACCATCCACTCTTCTTCACCTCTGCCACTGCAGTGCAAAAGCAGCCATAGATTACACATAAATGAATGGGCATGGCCGTGTTTCAATAAAACTTTATTGACAAACACAGGCCCTATGCTGGATTTGGCCTGCAGGCTGTAGTTTGCCAAACTCCTACATGCACAATATTAAATTGAATTGAATTCTTTAGTAAATGATTAATTTGGTCCTTGAGCTAATTTGTCCTCATTGAAGCAAAAGCCTTGAACTTGGACGGAGTAGGTGATGGTGCATTTGAGAAACACATCTGAGGCACAGGTGGAATTTGCTGAGGATGCAGGGGTTGGGGTTGGGTCTGACCTAAGCTGACACGATCGTACTCCACGCGTGTGTAGGTGAGGGTGTGAGTTGAGACGAGATTGGGGTACATCACACCTCATTATGAGGCCAGTCTTTCTGACGTCTGTACCATTCTGATGCTCCTCACTGGGAGAAGGACAAGCAGTGCACGGCCCTCCTCTTCAGTGATGGCTGCATTTATGAACACCCCCGCCCCCGGTCTGCCCATTAATGTCCCACTTGTTTTCACACGCATTCTCTCTTCCACCTTTAAAAATTGAACTATTATAAGCAAAACTGATCTTCATACTCTTCTTGCCTTAGTTCATACTTTATCCCTAATAGTTGCTGGCGTGATCATTGCTGAGCACATTGGTGTTTCACAAGACAAGCTGAAATTTAAACTCTGCACATAATCCAGTATAGCTCTTAGAGCCTCTGAGAATGTCCGTGCCCTGATCCACACTTGAAGCTTTTTCCCAACTCCCTCTTTAAGCTTTCCTGTGATGTGGACAGAAATCTAAGACGGGTCAGCGGACGATCCAGCCCACCAGCCAAATCTGGCTGCCTCTTTTTATAAATAAAGTTTTGTTGACACACAGCCACACCCATCCGTTTCCCTCTCGTCTCGGGCCGCTTCCACGCTGCCACAGCAGAGCTGAAAATATCTATCTGGCCTCTTAGGAGAAAGATGTGCCGGCCCCTGTTCTAAAAGAAAGGATTTGAGAGGCGCCGGTGTCGTGTTCATATCCAGGTGGCGGCTAGAGATCCTCCGGCCCACCTGGACGTGACCTCACACTCATTGCCCCGTGCTCTCCGTGCTGCTGCCTCAGCCAGCGTCGTGCATTGCCCCGGCCAGTGTACCAAACTCTGTCCGCTGGCTGCCTGGGGGCGGGCCTACCAGCTGCGCCGTGGCCGTGGCCGTGGCCGTGGCGGGGGCTTGGGGCATCGTGGTATTTGCATGCTCTCGTAACTCACTTCCTGCCTCTTAACACCCATGTGGTGTCGAATGACAGGCAGTCCTCCAGACCAGCGTTACATTCTCAAAGAACTAACAGCTATGACAAGATGTTCAGGGGTGACTCTGCCAAGATTTTCTGATGGTTCGACCTTCAAAACGCAAATGTGAATAATGAAATAGGGCCTTATTTTATATATATAAACTCAGGAGTAGAAATATATATATTTACAAACTCAGGAGTAGAAAACCCAGGTGTTATGATCACATTTTTTGCCCTGACCTTGTTGTGGGCTGAAAAATGCACATTTTTATAGTCATTCTGAGCTCATGAGAATCATTTTAATTTGCAACAGTTTCAGAATAATGTAAAGCCTTTAGGTCAAAATCTGCAGTCTTGATTTCTTCGGCTTCTGGTCTGAAGTCTGCTGAGCATGAGCCACACTTTTAAGCTGGATCGAATATGGGAATGGTTGAAAACGAAGTGTTCGTTTTCTCCTTCCCTTGGGAATGCTGTTTAGCCAGTATGTAGCAGAGCTGCATGTGTCCAGCTGGGACCCCCGAAGGTAGCTTCTACCACATGTCCTGGCTGATCCCCGCCCATGCTACTGTTGAATGATCAGTCGCAGCTGCTCTCAATCCCTGTCTCGGAACTGACAGGCTGGGAGTTCATGAAGGCAGGGGCATGTTCGTATTCACCATTTTACTGTGCTTTTAAAATCTGATTCTGCAAAGACATTATTGGTCATGTTGAAATAAACGCTCCTCTTCTTCCTCTCTTTGTTTTGTAAACTTGTTCCCAGGCCAGCCATTTAAACTGGACCCCAAGTCTGCACATCGAAAGCTGAAGGTGTCCCACGATAACTTGACAGTAGAACGTGATGAGTCATCCTCCAAAAAGAGCCACACGCCCGAACGCTTCACCAGCCAAGGGAGCTATGGCGTAGCTGGAAATGTGTTCATTGATAGCGGTCGGCATTACTGGGAAGTGGTCATAAGTGGGAGCACATGGTAGGCAATGATACCTGTTGTCGTCCAGTCATAAAAAGGCACATCTCATTCTGTACTTTGTCAGAGCGTTAGTCCATTCCAGGGCCCATCTTGAAGGAGACTGTGCAGAAAAGCTTTTTTAGTCTGTTGTTGCGACGATAATGCTGCATAATAAGCACCCCGAGACTCAGTGGCTTCAAACAGTAATCATTTATGATTGCTCGCTCACCACCCCCATGTGTGGGTTCACTGTCAAGGCTAATCTCGGCCGGGCTTTGCTTTCAGCTGTAGGGTGCACGGCCGGGTTTGCTTTCAGCTATAGGTTGCATCTACGTCTGTTCTTTGTGTCTCTTCAGCCTCTTCGGACGGGAGGGCTCCCCGGGTCAGGTCTTTCTCAAGGAGCCCGAGAGCACAAGCCACAGCTAGGCAGGCACATTTCAAGCCTCTGCTTCCATCACTGTCTACTAACTTCTCATGGACCAAAGCCAGTCATGTAGCCAAAGCCAAAGCCAAAGCCAAAGCCGGTGGTCTAGGGAAGTATATCTCTCCCCCGGAGACGAGAGGAGGGAGTGAATGTTTGCAAAACAATCATCTAATCTTCCATTCAGCCAATAAGAAAAACAGCTTGTTTTAAGTCCCTCCATTTTTTCTTTTCTTTTTTATTTACAGCAAGAATTGCAGCTGATTTGATAGAGTCCTGGTCCCTAACAGAGCTAGGATGCTAGCACTGCTCTTTTGTGCCTTAAAACACGAGTCAGCCGACGACAACCAGCGGGCCAGACCTGGCCCTGTGCCTGTTTTTGTAAATAAAGTGTTGTAGGAAGACAGCCATGCCCATTCTTTTCCACATTGTCTGTCTGTGGCTGGGCTGCCTTTGAGCCGCACGGCAGAGCTGAGCAGTTAAAATAGAACCCTATGGTCCACAAAGCCGAAAATAGTAACTCTCCAGCCCTTTACCAAAAATGTTTGCCGATTCCTACTCTAGAACATTACTCTTCATCATTTGAAGAGAACGAATTTCTGTGGCCTTATACATATGTTTTGTGACTCCAGACTGGGCCGACGACTGGAAATAGTCACAAGCTGAGGGGCTGAGGCAGGGACCATGGGCTGGGAACCCTTTCAAACGGTTTGTTAGCCTAGCGAGCTCTCTAAACCCAAGGCTGTTGGTCAGGCCCAGAACATTCCAATGTGGTGTCTACGTTGGAATGAGCTAACCTTGCCTAGTTAACCTCACAAAGCTGACCTTGTCTGTTCCACAGCCACGAACTGCACCCCTTCTCCGGCTGGCTGGCTCACAAACACCTGTTCGCTTTTGCTCTTTTATTTTTATTTAACCAGCCCTCATCTAGCCCAACCACGTGCCAGGCACTGGTCTAAGCATCCTACAGATGGTAACTCGTTCATTCATCTTAACAGCCCCCCAGAGGTAGGTGTTGGATCCGCCTTTACAGATGACATGACTGAGGCTCATGCCCATTAGCACAAGGTGGCAAAACTGGGAGGCGGCAGGGTGAGGAAGGCTGCAGTCAGGGCGCAAGCTCTGACCCAAGGCTTCACAGACCTTTCTGGAAAGGGCTAGAGAGCCAGTATTGCTGGCTTGGCAGGCCAGGTGATTTTTATCCCGACTACTCAACTCTCCGGTTGCAGTGGGAAAACAGCCACAGACCATGTGTCTGTGACTGGGTGTGGCCTTGCACAAATAAAACTTTAATCAGCAGAGGGCCAGATTCGGCCCATGGGTTACCGTTGGCTGATCTCTGCTCTGAAGCACCATGCTCTGTTTTTGAAACATTATAATTACTCTTTCGGGGGTGTACAGCGGTAAACTTGGTGAGCGATAGCTTAATCCTTGCTTAGAAAGAAACACGTCCCAACTGCATAACCTGAAACGAGGAGTATCATAACAGTGTTAGGTTTGAGATAAGGATACTAAAACACTTTGTGTCTTAAGTCCCTTACAGTGTTGATACAAGTCCGCTGAGATCTAAAAAGTGAAATCATAAGCTTGGGTGTCTCCTTTTTCCCCAGAATGGTACCTGTATTGGCCAAGCAAGGAGGTTTTCTTCTGTTGTGATCCTTGTAACTCTCTTGGCCCAGAACATTTTCCTGTTCCAACATCCTGCCAGGGGATGGAGGGCAAATCCTTCCGCCCCACTCAGCTCTGGCATTTGCAGTTTTTAGCGGCACGGGGGCAAGATAAAAGGCCGAAGGAAAATAGGATGAATTTTTGCAGGTGCAAAGGAGCAAACATTTCTAGTTAATTAACGTGCAGTATTAATCTGGGAGAGAATCCAGTGTCTAAATAATTACAGCCCCATTAATAATTATTTGTGATAAATGATACCCGATCATTATGATCTCATTCCCATTGATGAATGGTGCGGGAAATTCCACCAGACCCCTTCAGTTATATAAACACAGATCGGTATTACCTTGAAAACACCCTCCAGATGTCAAAACCTACTCAGGAGGGGGGAAAAATTCTAAAATTAATTGCCACACTTTGGATCTTTACACGCCGGATTGTGTCAGTTTCGGAAAACGTCTCGCATAGAAAGTAGTTTAACATTTCCTGGGAGGTGTTAGAGGGGAAGGGGTGACCCATATGATCAAATGCTTGTGGCGCCTTGATTTGCACCAGCTAATGACACTTCCATTTTCTCGTGAAATATCGTCCTGACTTTCAGTTAACATGTATGTTATGATCCCTGCAATGGGGCATATTAGCATTGCTCTGAGAAACATAATTTTTATACTTTCTGAATTCTCCAAGTCTCACTGCGTAACTTAATGGAACATTACCTTCTGCCCGCACCTTTCAAGCTCAGTGGAAATACGTACATAGTTTTACAGATTAATGATAACATAATGGTATTTTCCTTTGCTTAATGGACTATGCACGGAGTTATTTTCTTACTCTCTAATGCTGCTAATGTGCACTTGGTGTTTTATGAAATGGTGTTAACTAAACGTGGGTTCGCGCAAAGATGACTGGGCCAGAAGTCAAGGGGGACGGGGCGAGATTCTGGATTCTGCTCCTAATTGTAACCTTCTCTGTGTTTTCCCATTTGCTAAATGAAGTCAGTCCTTCCTGCCACAGCTACTTCATAGCGGGTTCAGTTAAGGTTCAAATGGGAAATAAACGCCAGAGTCCTTTGATACAAAATCAAAATGGTGCGTAGCAACAAGAAGGAAACAATGTAGACCTGGCTATTTTGTGATGCAAATGCACGTTCCACAGTATCTGGAAAATGGAAATAGTGTGTCTGTGGGGCATAGAGAACATCGTGGGGGCCAGTTCTCAAAACAAAAACCTTTCCAAAGTGTCTCTCTGGCTGCCGGCTGGAAAAGAGTGTTTCCCCACCTCTTAGAACTTCTGGATCTTGTACAGAGCCGTCACAGTGTCAGGACCTGACCCAGACTCCCGCTGGGAAAGGAATGTGGGAAATGCAACCCCAGGATTCTCCCTGTGATGCAGAGCAGGACTGGCCAGAAGGAGGAGACAGGCCAAGTTGATGGCAGACAGGCTGGTACACTAGGCTTGGCTGAGGATCAATAATCCCATCCTCTTTTTTAATTCAGTGATAGCGTGTTGTAGTCCTTTTTTTTTTTTTTTTTAACATACCACTCTTAAAGTGATTGTATTTTAAATCCAGCATGGGATTATTTTTAAAAAAGAATGTCGTTTAAAAAAAAAAAAAAAAGAATGCCGTTTTCTCAAAGACCAATGGAGTTTTTTTCTCCCTGCACTGGGTAAGGTACCATATATGTCAATATCCACTTAGACTGGTTTCTGCTATAACATAGTAAAGGTTGAGCTCCGAATCATTGACTCTTTATTAAGAATGATGGGTTTTGCTTATCTTAATCACTGAAATACTGCAAATGTTACGGAGGCATACCTTAGCAGGGTAAAAAGAGATTAAGGAGTTTCAAACACCGTAGAAAGAATTCTCTCTTTTTTTTTTTAAGATTTTATTTATTTATTTGACAGAGAGAGACACAGCGAGAGAGGGAACACAAGCAGGGGGAGCGGGAGAGGGAGAAGCAGCTTCCCGCCGAGCGGGGAGCCCGATGTGGGGCTCGATCCCAGGACCCTGGGATCATCGTAGAAAGAATTCTTAACTTTTTTGAGCAGTCGAGAGTACATTTACAATAACTGGGATATCCATCTCTCAAAGACATTCAGAATTTTTAAAAATGTAGTAGGAAATATAACCAGAAGGGCTCTTGGCAGTGATGAATCACATACTTTCTGGTGAGGGAAGGGATTAGAGAGTGTTAAGTTTCTGGCCTTTTGAGTCACCCTAGGTTCAAGATCTGATTCTGGTACTTATTAGCAATGTGGCATTGGGCAACTTCAATAAAACAGCAGTTACCCGAGATTCCTTGCCACGCCTTGTGCCCCAGATTTTACACATATTCTTTCCTTTACTCCTCAAAATCACCCTCCGAGATGGAGGCTGTCATTGTCCCCGTGCTGTAGATCAGGAACCCAGCTAGGAGAGGACAAGGAACTTACCCCGGAAATGAAAACCATTCTCCACGCTTACCTGTGGCAAGGTGTACTCGAAGTCATGGAAAGTGACAGACATGGGGTCAGTCGAAAAATTCAAAGTAGGCCAGAAGGAGAAGTCGAGGGTTGTGCTGTCCAATGTGGTAGCCCTGGGCCACATGCAGTTAATTTAAATCATTTGACTTAATTTAAATTAACTAAATTTAAGGTCTGGTTCCGCAGTCTTGGCAGCCACAGTTCAAATGCCCAGTAGCCACATGTGGCTCATGGCTACCATATTGAACAGAGGCAAAACATTTCGCTCATTGCAGAAACTTCTGTGGGACAGCGCTGGTCTAGAGAATTCATTGTGTGGGTCTTGATGAGTGTAAAAAAAAAAAACAAACCAAACAAAAGGCAACGAGACACCCAGTTCAAATTCTCTTGTAATGTCTGAACTAAAAACAGGAATACGAGTAAATACCATGGCCCATGTCTGCCCACTGTATGTTTGGGAGGAAGGCGATAAGGAACACCGGCGTCAGGGTCTTTGCCAAGCTTTCACTGAAGAATGAGCAGGGACAACAGAAAACCACGTGTTTGTGACCCCTGAAAACCAGAGAAGGAGGTAGCGTCCGTGTGCAACCCGCCTCATGGTTTTTGTTGTCACTGTTCTGTTTGTGCAGGTATGCCATCGGCCTTGCTTACAAATCGGCCCCGAAGCATGAGTGGATTGGGAAGAACTCTGCTTCTTGGGCACTGTGCCGCTGTCACAATAACTGGGTGGTGAGACACAACAGCAAGGAAACCCCCATCGAGCCAGCCCCCCACCTCCGGCGCGTCGGCATCCTGCTGGACTATGACAATGGTTCCATCGCCTTCTACGATGCTTTGAACTCCATCCACCTCTACACCTTCGACATCACCTTCTCGCAGCCTGTGTGCCCCACCTTCACAGTGTGGAACAAGTGCTTGACCATTATAACTGGCCTTCCCATCCCAGACCATCTGGACTGCACAGAGCAGGCGCCATGAGCACCTGGCCACATGGAGCTGCTTTCTGGGGCATAAAAGGGTCGTGGCCACCATTTCAGGGACAGAGAAAGCACAGGCTTCCAGAGTGTGATTAAATGTCGCCAAAAAGTGTCCAGAAACATCGACTAGGATAGGACTCAACATAGGCGATTCTCCCCTTTTACTGTCTTTTGTATTAAGTACATGCTTTAATAATTTCTTCAAATTTGTCCTGTGATTGCAGGAAAATTTATAGATTATTTATGAAAGAAACATAACCGGAATTACAACTCTTAGACATGATCTGGTTTTGCACATTAAGAGGCCCAGAAGTTTGCCAGCTCTTTACAACAACCTTTGTGTCATCGCGCTCTGTGGGCTTGAGAAAACCAAATCTTTTGTAGTTTCGTACGCTCATTCAGCTTCTCACATCGTCGTGTCATACTGATCCCATCTTGGGTCCTGTCGCCTCGACGGTGCATAACAGAATATGCAGTTACCTTAAAAAAAAAAATAGTTTTGAACCTAGTAGGGCAGCAACTGGGCTTTCTTAGTCTGCTTTATTTTGAAGTGTTTTCAGTGTGATGTCAAAACCGTCTTGGATCAACTAGAACGGAGAGCAAGAGGGAGAGCGGAAAGAATTGACTTTAAGAATTGACGTTAAGAATGAGCTTGCCATTGAAAATAGTCACTTTGAATCCTACTGATTATTCAGAACGTCAGAGGCTGATTTGTCTTTGATCGGAAGTAGGGTTCTGTTTCGTGACCTAAATCCATTTCATTCTCTTCCTTTTAATAGTTTCTTCAGGCCTGTGACATTGCTTTGCTACATTTGATAGCTGTCCTATCTCCCTCTCCCCCAAATCATTTTTCTTTTGTTGCTGGGGCTGAGGAAGTAAACATTTTCTGTTAGAAATGGCAGCACCACTTTGGATTGACTTTGCTCTCCAGGACATCAACACATGGCCCTGACTGTCTCTACCACGTCCAAATATGACCCACCCCAAAACACTTAATATTTATGAGTTGGTAATGACAAGGGACATTGCATAAAGTACTCTTTACTAGTATACGTGCCTCGAAAGTTATAAACAGACTTTTATTAAACACATCTCGAAAGATGTAGCGGTCCCTCTGTATTCTAGTATAGTTCACTATAGAGTTGTAAAACAAAAAACAAAAAAACAAAACAAAAAAAGAACAAAACAAACAAACAAACAACAAAAAAAAAAACCCAAAAAAATCAAACTCACTATTCCCGTGCTGGAACCCATTAATAGAACCTGCTAATAGAATGTCGGGTGGGATTCTGGGCCCCCTGATCTGGTAAGATGGAATGGTCCATGAAGTAAGGCTCTCTCAAGCAATCCTTGGACTTGGGCCGGGAATCCAGCATGGGTTCTATCTTGACAAAGGGCGTGACATCTATAAGTCATTTCGTTTGCTAAAATATTTATCTGAGCTACTGGGTTGGCCATTTTGACTGAACGGACTGATGGATTTAGGCATTGTTTTTAGCAATCTGTTTTTAACCAAATCGACCCATTGTCTCCCTGAGATCCGTCCGTAGCCCCGCTGTTTCAGCATCGGGCTATCTGAGCGCCAGCCTGGACTCCACGGGCTGCATCATGCCTGCTTCCGTCCTCTCCACTGGCAGATGCTCTCCTTTTTCTGAACAGATAGAGTTTATATATTTACTATATTATTTATACCCAGATGAATATTTTGATAGCGACTTAGGACAGTTTCACATCTAAAAGATGGACACCTCAATGGAAAAAAATTAATCATTCTCTGGAAACTTAATGTTTGTTTTTTTTACAGTATAAAAACAATGTGTATTTGCCTTCCCTGAACAAACTGAAAGGGTTGTAATTTTTACATACTGTTTTTGGTAGCTGGATAACGGATATTTTAATGCACTTTGTACACTAACAGGTTTTGAATAAAAGGGTCTAAAACTCAGCTTCTGAGTTTTTAAAATCATGGTCGCCAGGTACCAGTAAACGCTACAGTTTGCCTTATGACATTAATGTAAAGCATTTACGAGGACAATATTTCCATGAATATAATGTTTTTCAATATAAAGAAGTTACTACTCAAATTTTCACTGCAAGCCATTTAGTTGATGTTTTGGCTATTTTTATAAGGACGAGGGATTATGTTATAATTTGGTTGTGGAAGTCTCACTCTTTGCTAACTTAAAAACCTTGTGGATAGTAGCAGTTACTATTTCCATGTTGTCCTATTTACAGGAAAATATGTATATGGTGAAAGGCCACAGTGTTTACTTTCATTACTGTAATGATGTAGAAAAGATTTCCGTGTGGGTTTTTTTTTTTTTCGAAAGTCTAAAAAATATATGCTATAAACATTTGCTGCAGTACAATTCTTTAAGTGGACTGGGGTCACAGTATTTTGTTCTCGAGGTCCCTACTTCACAGGAAGCATTGCGACACAGGGGAGAAAGAGATAGCAGGGCCGGTTACGTTAAAACAGCCAAATTGACGCGGCCAAGGCTGCCAGGTCTGACGTCGTGGGCGTGTGAAGAGGTGCTGTCGCCATCTTGAAACTCTTAGTAATTTTTGAGTAGGGGGCCCTGCATCTTCCTTTTGCGCTGGGCCTCAAGAATTCTATAGCCAGTCCTCATAACAGAACTCAGAAACATGGTACCTCTCTTCCTGGTGGATACAAATGAAAAAACCTGGATCCAATGTCAAAAGCGGCTGGCCATATAATTCAAGTAGGAATCCAAACGGATTAAGAGGAGCATGGGCGTGGGTGAAGATGTTCTTCCCAGCTTGAAAGAAAAAAAAAAAAAGACTTCAAAAACTGCAAATGTTGATGATGATTTCTGCTGGAGAAGAGGAAATGGCCTGATGACGAATGCGCAGTTTATCACGGTACTGAGGTAATTGACCCTGAACTTCCCAAGGAACTGAAGCAGCGCTGTCCAGTGAACGGGGGATTCCAAGTTTCGGCTCCAGGCCCATATGCGGTGCCTGAAGAGACATACGCGTGTATGCTCGCACACCTGTGCTTTGGGTGTCGGGCAGTTGGTGATCTGGTCTACCCTTACAAAATGTGAAAAAGGAGACAAAGACCACGGTGATGGGGGCAGGAGGATGGTTTTGAAATTGTGCTTCTCAACAGAGGGGCGATTTGGCAGTGTCTGGAGTCATTTTGGGTTGTCCCAACTTGGGAGAGGGTGTTATTGGCGCCTCGTGGGTGGAGGCCAGGGGTGTTGCTCAACATCCTCCAGTGTGCAGCGCAGCCCCCCACCCCCCCGCACACACCCAAGAATGATCTGAGCAAAATATCAGTGGTGCCGTGGGGGAGAAACTTGCTCTTTGGGGTTCTTTAAAGCAAAACTCTCACAAATATGTTTTCCTGTTCCTGTAATTGATTCAATGCCTGATACAGCAAAAAGAAGGGGGGACGCTCCACGGCTGTGGCTACCTTCACTTTAAAAAAAAATATTTACAAAGCCTGGAAGCTTATCTGAAAAGCAGCCCAAGCCTGTGTAAATGGGAAAGTGGGGATCCGTGTCACGAAGATGTGGATGTGATTGGCTTAAGCTGGGAAATGCCAAGCTGACTGTCTGTAGGCCGCTCCTTGCACCCGGACAAATGCAACCCCTGGTACTTGTGTCACGCGGCCATGCCCTCTCGGCCCGGACTGTTCTCGCCATTGCTGTTGCTTTCTGGTTCAAAATAAAATCATTTTTGGGATTCCAAGGCCCTCTGTCTCGCCTGTCTCTTTTGCCTTTTCATCATTGTGTGTTTTCGCACTCACTGTTTCCACACATATTTATGTAACGTCTGCCGGGTTTTTTAACTACTTTGCAACTTAGAACGTTTCCTTTTATTCCTGAAACTCCAACCCACCGTCCCGCTTCTCTCCGTTCCAAAGTACAGTTACTAAGCCCCAAAAGAGCCCCTAGGAAATTTAAAAAACACAATAAAGAAAACCTCTACAGGAGTGGCGATCCTGAACAAGAATGGCTTGATTTCGAGTCGTCTAGAGCGGGTGGAGGAGGTGAGGACAAGGGCCATTGGAGCAGAGGAGGGAGGCTCTTCGCAGTGTGGGCTGCAACACGCCCAGCCGTCGGCCCCTAAGTCTATCCCCGACCCCATCCCGTGGCTCCCAGGACTTGACTTTCTCTCTTTAGAGGTACGAGCCCTTTCGATGGAAGTCAGTGCGCCACAGAGCGGTCATGGGTCTGCAGCGTCCGCACCACCTGCGAGCTGCTTAGAAATGCCTGTTTTCCAGCCCTACCCCGCGGGCCTCCTCATCAGCATCTCTGGGCGTGGGGCCAGCAGTAAGTTCTAACAGGCCCTCCCGGGGACTCTTGTTGCTGGTAAAGGTCTGTGGAGCGAAGCTCGGGAGGGGCTTTATCCAGTCCCCTAGCCCATATGAAAATGCACTTACAACCTGAAGTGTGTTTTCAAGGTAATGTGCTTTAAGAGGCAGCATGATGTAATGCAGTGATTCTTAACCTGGCAGAGCATTAAAATCGCCTTGTTTCCAAGTGCTGACTCCTGGATCCCCTTCTGAAAGACGGGGGATGAGAAGGTCTAGAGTGTGGCCCAGCACCCTATACTGTCGTTTGAAGTGATTCTCAAGCGTAGCCGGGATTGGCTGCCGGAGACACAGGACGCGGCACCTTTTCTATAAAAGTCAGAGAGTGAATTATTTGGGGGTTTTGCAGGACATACTGTCTCCGTGGCAACTACTCGGGTCCGTGGCTATGGAGTGAAAGCAGCCATGAGGATATGTAAATGAATGGGTGAGGCTGGGTTCCAATAAAACTTTATCTACAAAAACAGGCACGGAGCTGCTTTTGGCCCTTGGCCTCATTTGCCAACTCATGCTCTAACAAATAAAGTACTGGGCTCACCCTGGGGCATTTGCTATCTCCTCTCCCTGAGGACTCGGCGGCCCCTCATGGCCCTGAGCCTCTTAGCTCTCCAGTCCTTTCCACCTTTGAATTACCGCAATTCTGAACGCACAGAACTCGTGGAGAATTAGGCACCGAGTGCTTAAGACAGGGCCACTCAAAGGTTATTAGAAGATTCTTTCATTCAACAGAGTAGGGCGTGTCAGTGCTAATGATTAGCATTCCCTCTTTCGTGATTTTGACTTGAATCAGCTCTTCTCACAAGTGACAGGTGTGGAAAATAGATTCCCTTTAATAAGAGTCTGAAGTACATTTAATTTGAACTTTTGAAACTTGAACAGACACCACTGTAATTAATCACCTTTCAAAGTCAGCTTGAAGGGCATGACAGACACTCCGGAGAGTAGCCCACATCCTCCTCTTTTTTAAATTATTATTTTTAAAAAAATACACAAGTAATATATGTTGAAGAAGATAGTTGCTTGTGATGATAATAGCATAAAAAGGGAGACACGTGCAACTTGCAAAGTCCTTCTCCCTTAAGTATCATTCTCGCTGTGGGGTGCACATTCAAGAACAAAATAAAAATGAGGTTGAGGCCTTATGGAAAACTTTTCTGGTAGCTGGCCTATCTTAACATGGGCGATTTATGGAGAGGAATTCAGGTCTCCCTTTGGATCTCTTTCAGCCATGTTCTCCTGGGAGAATTATAAAAGCATGATTAAATAGGAAGTATAGCAATTAACAAGCAAATGTGTCATGGCCGAAAACCAATTACTAATTAAGGAGAGACACAGAAAAAAAATGATTTAATGGAACATTGGTGCTTTTGCATGGTCTATTTATTCTCAAAGCTTAATTTTTGATTATGGTCATTAAAAGCTGTTCAATGTCAGTCAAGTATTTCAGTTAATAAAGCTTATAACTTCCCCAGTCTTATTTTCCCTCCAGCTTCTGCCCTCTCTCACCTCCTGTTTTCTGTCAAGCTTCTCAAAGGGCGGTTCAGATGCTCCGTTTCTAAGAAATCAGAGAGGGCGATAAACCGTGAGAGACTCTGGACTCCGGGAAGCAAGCTGAGAGTTACAGAGAGGAGGGGTGTGGGGGAGATGGGGTAGCCAGGTGATGGGTATTAAGGAGGGCACGTGTGGTGATAAGCGTTAATGAATCGCTGAACACTACATCAAAAAACTAATGATGTACTATATGTTGGCTAACTGAACATAACAAAAAAATACATTTAAAGATTCAAAAAGAAAAAAAGAAGCTCCGTTTCTGCTTCCTCACCTCCCAGTATACCTCCCCACCCTCCACCTGGCATTCAGTGTCTTCGTTCTA